CTAATTGATGTAGTTTCAATTTTCCTTTCAAAATAAAGTCACAGATTTTTTTCCACATAAGTTTTTAATTTTTTACTCTGTTTATTTGTTAAAAAAATCCATTCCAATATAACATCTTCCCTCTGCATTAAAATTTCTGTAGGAGAATGTCTAGAGGGTAAAATAACCAAAATGCAATCCAGCTTTGGATCAATACGATCATGTGCCCTTCATGTACGTTCTTTTCTACCAAGGCCAATTCTTTCTCAGTTCCTTGACGAAATATTGTTTCTAGGAATGCCCTTTTTACAGTCGCTTTTCAAATGACCTTGCTTTCCACATCCAAAACATCTGACATTCCTCAAACCTCTTGAAATTGCGTCTCCTATCTCCATATCATCATGGCCATGAGACTCAACATTAGTCATATCTCTAATCCAGTCCTCCAAGGGTGCAGATCTTACCTTTACCAGCCTGATTACTCTCTTGCATGCTGCATTCGCATTCTCAAAAGCCAAAGATTCGATTATTATCTGGCTAGCTTCTGAATTCAGGACCATTCTATTTACTGCTGAAGACATTCTTTGTAAGAAATTCATGAAGGATCATTTTGGGCCTTTTACAACTTTTATGAATGACTCAGTTTTCTTTCCTGCTTCCTCAATTCTGCCCCATGCATTCATGGCTGCCATTCAACATAGAATTAGGGTTTGATTATCATATAAATATTTTCTTTGTATTTCAGCATATTGGCGTTCTCCAAGAAGCTGATCCTGGGATTTCCACACCTCTAGCCCTCCACTGACTTTCTATCATCTTAGCCTCATCACAGCAATACATGCCCACCACTGCAGCTGTGCTCTGGTTTCAAGGACAGCATTTACCAGCTCTTTCTAGTATTGAGAGATAATTCTATTACAAGTTGACCAGGAGTTTTACATTTGCTTTACAAATGGGGAATGCATGCCATAAGATACTATTGCTTCCTTAAACCTTCTTAAATCTAACATTTCAACTGGAGTCCAATTAGTTTCTACATTCACTTGATCAGATAGCTGCTGTACAGTTACCGGATAAATTAAGTTTGATTGTTTGAAAACAGGCTTTCTTTCTGTAACCTTATAATCCAATCCTGAAATAATTTTAC